CGCCTCACAGACGACAGCTTACAGTCCTGTAGAGATGGAAGTGACTTCGTACAGCCCCGACCTGCAGACGCTGTGCGCAGAGGTTCAGGAGCAGAAGTCCCGTTGTAAACATATCACGGCAGACCCCACGATGTTTGCATGAACACGCTTTTCAGCTTCTCTTTATTGACCACTTTTCACACACGGTTGCTGTACGCACACAGCCGGCTGTAGCTTTGCAGCTCACAGCCCGACACACACCAACACAACAGCACAGACGTTAAGGCGGCGAGGCGTGATTGCGGGTGCCGCTCAGGTGCGTCCGCCTCCCCTACAGACCACGCCCCGCCACACACATTAACCAGGTAAAATACATATTTAGGCAGAATTTTGCAAATATCTATTTTTCATCTTTCAGCAGCATCGAGCTTTTTATCCAATTATTTTTTAAAAGTCGGGTCAAGGCTCCAAAAGCACAAAGGAGATATGAGGGCGGCTCACAGCAGTTTTTGTTTGCTGGATCCCAGAGTTTTCTTTTGCGTGGAAACTGGGTCCAAATGGCTCTTTGGGTCTTAAAGGTCGCTGACCCCTGCACTAGCAGATCGTTACATGGAGAAACCTTTTGAATACAAGATCCACACAGGTGCTCACAGACACAAACTACAGCTTTCTCGGCTGCTACCTCCAACAACATTGTGCGCTGTTAGTCCTGCGTGCTGCACAATAACTTTCAATATTTAGCATTTACTGTTAGTTACAGTTACCCAGGTTATTGCTGTGGTGTCGTGTTTATTGTGTTGCTCTCCTTTTGTTTGTTTGGGGTTTTTGTTCTCTCTCAGCAGGTGATCCAGGTGATTTTTTTTCCGTGCCCTTCCTCACTCCCCCTTCCCCCCTGTTTTTCTTTCCCTCCCTCTCTTTCTTTTTCCCTTTCCTATCCCCAGCCATGTCTGTCCCGTCTGTAACAAGTGAAAGTAAAATAAAATAACAAAGGTCAGTCAAATGGACCGAATGGCAAGGCTGGGATGATCCAGTTGGTAAAGTGAATCTGTTGAGCATCTTTTTTGGCCTTCAGATAATAATTCTGACGGCGAAAGAACCAAACAGGACAGGCAAAAATAAAAAACAGTCCTTACACACACAATTATCCTTTTGTTATCCTTTCAATCCTTTTTATTGAAATGAAAGGCCAGACAGTCAAAAGAAAATAAAACAGTGGTTAAAAGTGACTCCATGTCTTCTGATATCATTGCGACATCTTCATGCAGAAGTTTCCCTCATCAGTTGCACCGATCATCAGTACATGTGAAGACGTTATAGCTGGAAATGGACTTCAAAGCAAAGGCATCAGCTCTCCTCATGCATCTTTTGAAGTACGAGTATCCTGCAAAAGAGCAAAGTGAAAACTCAGACTGTACAGATTTGAATTCAAAGAAACACCATCATCAAAAATAACATGAAATAACAATAATGTGTGTGTGTGTGTGTGTGTGTGTGTGTGTGTGTGTGTGTGTGTGTGTGTGTAACCATACTTACTGGGGAATGTGCTGATGACATAGGCACAGACCTCATCAGGTCTCTGGCAGGTCTCCACTGTGTTGGTGCAGCTGCCACCAGCTGTTATTGGAACGCAGCGGTTACACCGCAGAGCCTCTGACAGAAGACAAAGACAGAGATATACACATGAATATGACTGTTCATGTTTAATATTAGTGAACACTGATGGCAAATCTACTGAATTAAAAACAGAAGAGAAACATGTTGAAGTCCAGCTCTTCAGTGTTACTGCCCCTAACAGAAGATTGGTGGCACTGGCTCGTTTTCAGTCACATTTTGCAGTTTTAGTTAAGTTAAAATTTCTTTTCTTTTTTTATAGCGCAACAGTTGCCTCGATGTGCTTTATACAGTAAAGTAAATATACAACTCCTCCGACTTTGAACTGAACAGAACAAAAGCAATCTGTAAATCTAACTTACCACTGCTGATGAAGATCATGAGGAGGATGACAGCAAGTGCAAAGGCTTTCATTTTCTTCTCTTGCAGGAGAGTTGGTCTCTGCAAAGATTACTTGGATTACAATATACTCACTCATATATGACCAAATGCTGCTGAGTGTGAATCAAAAACAAGGCTCTGAGAAAACATCAGCTTTTCCCCTTTCTTCAAACACAGAAATCCTTCATTTCTTATTGTGTCTTATTTTTGTTCCCATGTCCAGGCATCTCTGTCTGTGTCGTCAGTTCAGTCCTTTCCCAGTCCTTTCCCAGTCCTTTCCCAGTCCTTTCCCAGTCCTTTCCCAGTCCTCCTGCTGCTGATGCTGCCAAACCCTCACCACGAACAGCCCACATGTCTCTGTGATCACACGCTTGCACCAAAGAACAGTTAAAAAGGACATTTTGATTTAGAAAGTGAAGAATTACCTGATGATGTTTCCTTTAGCAAAGGTACAGCTTCACTAGACTGAGCGCTTCACTCAGGAATTTATAGTCTGCTGAGACGTTACACAAACACTGGATATTCCATTGTAATGAAAGCCGACTACAGAAGATTACAACATCATGTTAATGAGCTACCACTCTGCAAAGAAACAACGCAAACACACAATTTCACTCCAAGCAAAATTTCCCAGAGCAGAAAAGCGCTGTATAAGAATCAGTCCATTCACCATGTAAACTGTACTTTACTTCACCAGCAGCCAGATGTGGTGAACAGTGCAGCAGGACTGTCTGAATTCTTTTAAATTCTGTCATCTTCTTCTGTCACCTACGATTTCACTGCCAGCTGCCCTGGAAATAAATAATGTTCAAGCTGACGCTGTAGCAAGCAGCACATGTTACGTCTGTGTGTTTCCTTGCTTGTACAGCACAGCGACCCAAACAGTGGCTTCTACATTAAAATGGTTTGTAATTTGCAACATGTGAAAACACACAGTGTTGATTTATCTTTATTATTTATGTATTTATTATTATTAATTCTTGAATTGTTATTTCCCAGAACACAGAATGTCAATCTACAGGTTCGTTTCTGCTCACCTGTAATTTGACTGTTGTTATCCTTTCATCCCTGCCGGACTGTAGCTGTCCTCAGATGTCATTCCTGCCTAACATGTGTTCCTAAAGCAGCCTAGTTAGTATACGTCTATGTCTCAGCCTTCTACACTTACATTTAATTGTCTGGTGTTTGCACATGAACATCCACTGTTGTGTCCATTACTGAAGCTGTTCAGCAGCAGAAATAACACAGCTGCGTAGGACACAATGTCCTTATTTATCTAACATGCAACACAGTAAATCAGACACACCAGTCCCTCTTACGCCATCACTGGTTACTGGTACTCTGAGTTTTATTTGAGTATAGTTAGGAAAATACAGCCAAACAAAGATGGTTTCCACAAATCGTCTTGTGAGGTGAAGTATCGATCTTCTCACCCTGAGTGATTCCCAGCTTCAGACGCTCCAGCATCTGTTAGCAGGACTCGTATGTGTACATCTGTATATGTATGTAATTTATCATTTGTTCATAATTGCCCCACATTACCCAAAATGTTGAAAAGTATAATCAGTGGCATGAAATCATCTTTAAAATTTGCTATTAAAACAGAAGCAGTTTGAGTGTGGTGCCATTGAGAAATCCAGTAAACGAGTCATGTTAGTGAGTAAAGCAGCTGGAATAAACCAAGCATGACTCACAGGGTCACAGCAGGGGGCAGCAGGTCAGGAACTCTGCTGAGGAACGCTCACAGTTTCTGTGGGAGTGTCCTGCGTGTCCGTGACACATGGACTGGTTGGCTTTAGTGAGTCAGAAGTGTCTTTAAATTCAGTCTTCAGCAGAGAGCTCAAATCATCAGATGGGGACATTTGATTGGACTTAAAAAGCTCCAAATGACCATGTACCAAAATCTAAATCCGTACACTAAATGACGTCTGTAAAAAACATCTGGCACCAGGCTGCATGCCTGTATTTGAGCTCTGCTGACCTGACTGTTGCAATGACATTAAAATTAATGTTGCATGTAGTTATAATAATATCAACAGCTTTAACCCGATCAGTCTGACAGCACAGAGGCCGAGCAGGTTTTCTTTCTTGTGTTGGTCCAAGTGTAAATGTCTTCTATGTTCCAAAACGGCTTTTTTTTCATTGCTCTAGCTCAGTGGATTTAGTCGAATTAGATTAGATTTTTAATTAGGGTAAGATACAGGAACCAATGAACCGAAGCCTTTAAAATGAACACGTGCAAATCTTAGTGCATAACAAAGTGTCTAAATGTGCATTTATAGTAAATCTGCAGAGGTTGCAGGTTTCTGTTCACCTGGACGTTTTCAGTGGGAGAAACGTTCTCGTCACTCATCCAGGTGACGTCCTCAGCTTTCCAGCCTTATGCAAATGTGCTGTTTATAAGACTGGGGAAACCTGCCGCTTACAGTTGAAGGCACATCGATATGGAGCGCTGCCTCAAACAGGCAGTCTCATTAATGCATTTAAGATACATTAATATGTATCATCTGTATGAATAAATACTAATGCAGACTGTAGTTCAGGTATTATACTGAGCTTGGCTGAGTATGAAAGTGATCAAAGAGCAGAGCCCCAGCTTTCATTCATCATTTCTTTATTGTTTGCACACATTAACATTACAGGATATCACCATTTATATCACACATGTATAAGACTGAGATCCACAACATATCAAAAGAGGATGAAAAAAAAAGGAGTTAAGAAAATAAGGTCACTAAGTAAAAATAAATCAGCCTGGGAACCAATGAATTTCTCCCTTAGAGAAGTTCAGTCACCATGACAACAGTTACAGTACAAAGACCCATAGATTAGAGAGGCTGTAACGGATCAGCAGAGTTGAGAAGAATCAGCGTTTCGGGAAAGGAACACGGGACACAGCTGAAGCTTTACAGTGGGGTTAGAAAAGGAAGCGTTTTTACCCGTCTCGCTCACCTGCTGACTCTCAGCTACGCCGTCTTAAAACCTGCAAACGAAACTAAACCGAGTTTTGTGAGAAGATCAGACGAGTGTGTTTACACTCGAAGCTCAGACTCGAGCTCGATTTTGTAACGAAGACAAATCCTCAAGTCTGCCGTCGCCCATTACAGCTGAGCTGCTCTCAACAAAGTCAGCGTTTGGGTGGGGGCCACGCCGCACGCGTCACGGGCTGCTCTGAACACCAGCAAACACCAGAGCTTTGTTGAACGCACCCCGTCTTATTTAATCTATGGCAGAATGATCACACTGGCACTTAGATGGCTAATCACATGACCACGCGGGGGAAACAAATAAGGCACGAGCACGCACAAACACACACAGACTATTTAAAAAGTGCATCTCCACTAGCTTTAAGGTTCAGAGAAACTGCTTGGCTCGCTCTTTTTGTGTTTCACAGATATTTTGAACAGATCAAAGATGACTCACAGTCAAACAGGAAGGCCTGTCTCACTACGTCACACCATTAAAAAACGGAGATGCCACCACCTGACAACATTCACACACGCAGCCCTCGTCTGCAGTGAAACCCATCTGCACTGGTACACACAAACACACACGTCACTGTGGCATTAAAACAGGCAAACACTTTTTGTTGTCGTTTTTGCTCTCAGCTTCAGTCAAACTGAAATTCGGACTGTTTTGGTGCTTTTCAGTCACATCGTTACAGGAACACCACAACACCAATATGTACCCACTGATAGTTTGTTGCAATGAAAGACATCTAGTTGAACAGCTTGTTTTGAGTCTTTAGAAACTGGCTGACTAAAGGAAAGAGACAACGTGTCAGAGGTAACGACTGCAGGTGCTGTAATCACTGTGAGGCTGTCCTTTACACCAAGACTCTGGAAACAGACTGAGGACAGAAACTGAGACTTGCAGAAATAATGTTCTTCTCAGGAATCACAGGTGATTATTACAGGAAAGAACATGAGCAATGATAAATGCAGCAGGAAGCTTAAGGCCTCTGTTACGGCCACACAGTTCTCATTTAGCCACAGAAATTAAAACCCTCATTAAGGAAAGTTGTAGCTGTGCTGGAGGCTGTGAAAGCAGCGATAACAGTGAAACCCTCAACAGCAAAGACATCCCAACCAACTCCCCACAGCGTCTGTGCATCACTGCTGAACCGTGAGATAAATGAGAACACAATGCAGCCTTTGGGAGGCCATACAGCTGCACCCGGGAACCTCTGCGAGAGCCCACAGTCACCTGTGTGCATCCAGTGCCTGCGCTCAAAAAGCCGAGGACGGGGGCTGCTGCTCACCTAACAGGAGGCTGTGAGCTGCTCAAACAATCACACCGATCAGCCACCGCTCGTGTTGGCTGCGCTCTATAAGGGACTGATTCATCTTTGGGTTTAGGAAGAACTAAATCATTTCAAAGGGTTCACACTTTCCTCTCTACAGAGGAGAGAGTAAAAGCCGATTCTGACGGGTTACAGTCCTGCTGCATGCTCCTCATACGCCTGCTCCTAAAGAAAACACAAGAGCTAAAAGGAATACTGGCTTGTGATTGGCCAAAGGGTGTGTTTCATCCTAGACAGCTCTGATCTAATGCGTCTATATCCTACATTAATACTCAACAAACAAATGGACGAACAGCTGGCCTGGAGCCCCGGTGCCCTCTGAGGCGTGTGGGGTCTGTTAACTGCACTGCTCAGTGTGGACTATGTGCAGCACACCACAGCACTGCGCCACAAACACAGAGCCAAAAACCAGCACATAACTTGGACAGACTCCTGAAACGGTACACAGAGTAAGACTCAGTATCAGGTACTTCTACTTAATTAAATTTGGGACAATCACAGGAAATCAGACACCCAAAATCATTCATTATGTACACTGAAGTGACGCTGCTACAAATGAAAACATGAATCCATTACAACTTATATTATTACTGATTGTATGAGCACACATCACGTCTGCTCGCACAATCAGTCACACAGAGGGCAGCAGAGACGCTGGCCTGTGGGAGTCCACCACATGCCCGACGTACCGACCGTCTCCCTGTAATTTAAACAACAACGGCGTCACTCCAGGGAGCGCAGTCACATCTACACTTTGTCACCAAACCCGCAGAGTGCCGAGTATGAAGCCGTCACTCAGCACACTTTTGTAGTGTGCCGTTTACCCGGGACACCAGCTACAGGTCCAAATGACACTGCTATTAGTAAAATTACAGTCATATAAAGGAAGAGAAAGACTCCACGTGCACAGCTGTGGCTGGTTTCTGCCAATCCAAGTACAGCATTTCATAGATTGTCCACAAAGTTCGGTACCGAGTTCACCATTCTGACGTAAACCTGCGTCACGCCTCCACTCTCCTCATCAGCCCTCTCTTTAGCGCAGAATCAGAATCTAAAGAACATTTGGTAACACAGGTGAAACGCCTTTTTGGCACTACATAGAAAACAACACGACCAGCTGCTACTGACAGAGATAAAAGATGCAAACCAGCTTGTTGAAGCAGGGCAGCGATGCAGGGCTGAATATAGATATGAACGCGTGCAGGTAGGAGTGACGGAGGCATGGACGGAGCAGTTCGGGGTGGTAGAGAAGCACATGGCAGCAAATGACTAGCCCTGCATTCACACACATGTAGTGATTTCAGATTTATGTCCCCCTCCCCCAGTGTTGCAGCTCTTTATAGTGTGCCGGCCTGAGACCCGCATGAAACGACTTCACGTCATCGTTCAGGTTCATGTTGTGCTCGTGGAGACTGCTGGAAGCACTACACTGACTTAAAGGAAGGGAAACGTGCACGTCTGTATCTGTACTCGTGACGTGTTTGTGGGGTTTCATGATGCAAAGTGATGTCGAGTTATCACGGCTCACAGTGGAGCACCACTCACGCAGGTGGTATCAGGGCCGCAGCGTTTCATGCTGTGATACGTGAACAGCCTCTAATTTAACGCTGTAACAAAACTGGGGATCTGGATCTTTCGTGTTTACCATCGGTTGCATTTTGTAGTGTTTTCTGTTATTTTTTGCTCACATTATTTTTATTTGCCTGAGCTCTAACACGTGTGCTGTTTCCACTTGTTTTCATGCTTGGAGTCAAATAGAAATGCCAGAAGTTGCCAGACATAATAACAGGACGCTCAGAACAACCGGAGACACACAAATAACTTGGTCCACTGAATCTTTTTAAATGTGCGCGGCATGTAAGAGACAGTCAGGCCTGTCTGAGTACTTTGATGATGCTCCTAAGGTAAGCTAAAGGCTAAATGCTGCAGGGAAGGAGGGTCTCGGCGGCGTTTCACATTGGCAGAAAGAGCTCAGAGCAGAGGGCTGGACATTAAGCAAACACCAGATGCTGCTGGTCCAGCAGGGTTCTCGTGAAGTTATTGATTGGTCCAATGGCGCTGAGCGACATGGCGTTGTCCCGCCCCCAGAGCAGATTGGGACCAAAGACCACAGCCAGGTTACTGTTGGTCATCTTATTCACCTCACTGTTGGCCGATACCTAAACACACACACACAGGATGCTGTTGTAACAGACAGAGATGATATTTTGGGAACAGCGGGATGTGCAGACCATCAGCTGTACCTGTGCCAGAAATGTGATGAGGTATCGCAGCGATGCGTAGTTTTCCTCCGGCAGTGACTCTACCAGCGTCTTCATTACTGTCACCTGACTCTCACTGGACACAGCTGGAACAAACACAGTCATCAGGTGAACTGCTGAGGCAGGCTGTTCATCTGGTGGAGGGCAGGTGGGGGTGTGGGCTTCACACAGTCACACAGGTACAAGCTGAGACTCCTCTAACCGTACTTACAGGCAAAGTTGACAATGTCATTGTAGAGCTGATAGGTGAGCAGAGGCTCGGGGAGTTCCCTCAGGAATGTTTTCAGGATGACAGCAGCCAGGTGCACATCTTCCATCTCTCTGAGGTTCACTGTCGTACCTGCAAACACACGAGTTCAATGAGAACAGAAGAAAACCCGAGAGAAGAGACGAGCGTCCCAACCCTGCTCTAACGTGGAAGAAAGCAGGTCCTCTGCACATAAACACCTGCAGCCTAACTGCTGTTTACAGAACCATCCATAACACAGAGGATCATAACTGACGTCACACAGCAGGTGGAGGGGACTGCTCCATCATGAGTCTACAGCAGGGAATTTCAGCATCACAGGGTCAGAGCTCATACCTGAGTTGTACCTGAGCTGGACCTCCTTCACCAGAGTCACGTTGGCAGATCGTCTGAAGATGCCCTCAATCTCCAAGCCTGACGCACACACAGACGCACACGCAGACGCACACACAGACGCACACACAGACGCACACACAGACGCACACAGTGAAAAAGAAAGAAAGGTGTTTCTTTCAGACATAACGAGGCACAGCCTGAGTCTGCATCAGAGCACAGCACAGGTATAAAGTCACCTGTGTGTGTGCAGCAGGCTTTAATTACAGTGATGTGAGCCAGTAAAAGCACAGGAGAGGCAGCCGTGTGTGCTCCGTGCAGACACAGCTCAGGGAGGAGCTCGCTCAGGTGTTCTGTTTGTTACCTTGCTCTGAGAGGAAGCCAACGGTGTCTCTCATCACCACAGGAACTGGATCGCCATCTGGATCCCTCTGTCTGAGCCTGACACGCACACATTAAAACAACAAGCAGATTCAAAGGTTTTTTCCTTTATCTGGAAGCTTCTCTCACAGGGCCGTGTCTCTCTCCAACTACAGAATCAGCACTTACAGCGTTAGTGGCACCCCAAACACCTGGCTGGGGAGAGGAGGGCTGTGAGGAGGAGACATGGGGGGCTGTGTGGTGGGTTTCAGAGATGCTCTTAATTTGTTGTCATACCTGGCACAGAGACAACGGGAGATTTTAAAAAGTAACACAGGGCTTCACTATTTGTGCCTGAATGTTTGCCTAAACCACAGAATGGAAGCAGCACAGCAGTGAATAAACTCCATCAGTGGCACCTTTTAAGATGCATTGTGCATGAGCAGAACAACCACAGGAAGCATTCCCAAATCAAATGAAAAGATTGACAGTACCCAGTGCAGAGGGCATTTCCAAAGAAGATGCACCTGGAACAGGATGCAATGATGATGCTTAAAGTGACAATAATATGTGGAAAAAAAACAAATGCATGCTGACTTTAGATTCAGAAAGCCAAGATGGAGAGGGAAAATGTTTGAATGTAAAAACTCTGCTGGTAAGAAAAACCCAAGTGAGCGGGCTGTAAAGCAGCACACGACTCACAAATTGCACTCTCTCACCTCCAGCTCGTTTAGCGTGGAGCACAAGGAGTCGGCACACAGCTGGGAAACCAGCAGCTGTGCCAGTGTGGCTACATCAGGGTGCACTGCACGGTCATTTGGATTGTGATGAAGCCACTTTCAGTAAGATAATACCATCCCACTTCCTGTGTTTGCTCCAACACGCCACTCTCAAGGAGGTCAAACACTTTCAACACTACAACCGGCCTCCTCACTTCTCATGCACACGGATAATAAGACGGAGGCGGCATTTAACCCTCAGTGAAACGTGCTGCTGGCATCACGCAATGAGAAGACTGAATGAAAGGCACACATCTGAAGTTTGGCAGGAACACTTACTCTCTGACGCGGGAAGGAATGACCAGCTGATCACACTTGACCACATCCTCCAGCTCACTCAGATAGCTCACGTAGTTGATCTTCCTGCCAAACTTAAAGCTGAGAGAGAGAAAACTCGAGTGGTTGATCTGTGAGCAGCAATGATGATGATTTTTATAACCATGAAAACAGAAATGTAACAAAGTGAAAGTAGCAAGTAGCACATGATGTGCGCACCTTGTTATGGACATTTTAACAACAAACCCAGCGAGCTCGTTTTGAAGTGGTTTAATTAACACGTTGCAATGTGGAGAAGACGTTCAGATCAAACAACAGTGTTCTGAGGACGGACACCTCCCTGAACTCTTATACAAACAAAGAACAAGCCACAACTCTCACATGCTGGCCCCTCTCACAGGGGCTCCTCCCGTCACCTG